GATAAGTTTCAAGACCAGCAACCAAACAGGTTCTCATACGCAAGTCACATCATTTTAACTCAGAGTGGAGCTCTTTTGTAGTGGCATAAGTATAACAGACCACCAAGACTCAGAGCCAAACAAAAAAACGAAGATAACTTCTCACATGAGGTTTGAATCAAAAAAAGTTCGACTCACATATATATGTATACAATTTTCCCTAGGATAAGATCAAGTCATTTAGCTGCATGATATTGATACCAATTCGCTCTCAAGTTTTTTGACTTTAAGCTGTTTTCAACTCCCGCTTAGATTAATTTCTGCTCAGCCATATCCACAAAAATGTTTGCAGAAAAGTGGATTGCCCTCCGTCCACCTAGCAGTTTCTTACCCATTCGAAACCATGTTTTCGATTTATGCCACGATGAAGAGATGAAGAAACAGAGTATGGTTGCACATAGTTCTTCAGGATTTCAAAACGAACACACACGATAAATAAAAACCTTATCATATATTATTTGTACATAACCACCCGAGCCGGTTCGAGAGGCTCGAAAGTGGGAGCTCGAGTAGAGCGTGAAGATTCTCGTCAAAAGACCCCAGAAAACAAAAGGTAAGAGTGGAGAAGACAAGGAAACCGAATCTAATCTGTTAATCCTGCTTGACTGCCTTGAGTCCCGAGTTTGTCAAGTTCAAGGATGTGAGAAGTTATACAATCTTCATATTGGCTTCGGCTCCTTCCCTTTTTCTGAGTCAGTCATCGGTTCTCGTTCTTCCGTCGGTCATCGATTGGTCTTCAATTAGTAAATCTACCTCGCTATTCCCTCCAGGTCGCTTCCGGGCCGGCCGGTGAGGTAGGTATTTGACTGTAAGAGAATTGGTTCGGGTGATGGTTCTCCATCGATCAATAGGTTTAAGGAATGCGATTTTTTTGGGTTGATCGAAAGGCATCACCAACCGAATCGAATTGGTGCACTAGTTGACCGAGCAGCGCAGCCTGCGAGTAATCAGCTCAGTGCTTTTTAGGGCTGGATTGTGCTGCATTACTGCTGTGGAGGTTCTGTTAGTTGTTCGGTCTATAGGCTCGCTCCAAAGAAATTCATTCACCCTATCCTCGCTTTTTTAGATCTCCCTTTCCACAGATCGCCATCCCGAACCTAGCTTGTATCAACTACATACCCAAGTAGGCCTTGACGCTATTATCCTGGGTGAGGTTATAACTGGTTCCGGAACTTTTCGCGACTTCGTATCAACTTTCAGTGATCATCGCCATCCAATTTTATTCATAACTCAAGGTGCTTTAAGAACGGGATCCGTCTATATTTGATCTAAAATATCGCATCTGATCTCATCTTATATGTCTCCACGCCCAAACAACAATTAGAAAACCCCACCAATCAATCCCACCACTCCGAACCTCCTGAACAGGCCTGAACGGCCTGAAAAAGTTACCCTTCACTCCCCAGTAGAGTTGTACACATAAGCAGGTTTGTCCTGTTCTATTTGTTTGTTCTTGATTGGAGGAGATCAAGACAATACAGCACCCTACAGCTTTGTGTGCGCGTGCGTGTGGTGGTGGTGTGGATGTTTGTGTGTGAGAAAGAGGGAAGGGATTAGAAACAAAGTGAGTTGTGTGTGTGTGAGCCAGTGGCGTTTCGAACGAATCAGAATTGAGCCTTCAGTTCTTGAGATCATTCAGCTTTAATTTTTGTCCTTTCTTCACACAAGGCTTTCAAGGTAAGATAGTTTATACGATTTTCCCACCAACCCTGGAATCTGGATAGGGACCACAACGGGACCACAACTTGAACTGTCTAAAAAGTACAGCAGACTTTTTCTTCTCTCTTATTCATCTCTCAAGGTTGTCTGTGAAATGCCCTTTTTCCTTTCTCATCCCAAAAAACCTCTATTTTTGAAATTCAAACGACCGATCAATTCTGTCTATACAGTTCCTGTTGTTTTCCATTCATCCTTCCTCTAAAACTTTTTAAATGTCTTGAAAAAGCCTGCAAAACTTTTTGACTGTATTTGTGTTTTTTGCGTATTGATTTTTTAAAATAGGCTTGCATCAACTTCAAACCAAGGGGAACACATCGAAGTCCACAAGATCTGACTCTCTCCACTCCTACTCTTTCTCAAGGATCGGCTTCCCGTGAATCGGACTCTTGACAATCGATATCAATTTTTTTCCTCTCGAGGTTCAATAACTTTAAAAATCTCCTCTTCCAACTCAATTGTGTGAGTCAATTATCTGAGGTCTCGATGAATGCAGCTTGACATCTCTATGGAATGCCAGCTCTCAGGTTGTGATTGTATGGTTTCTATTCAGTGGATCACGTCCTCCATCATATTGATGTGGATTATCATTTGAGGTCGCAGAGAATCGACGAGGTTGAGAGAAAGAACCAACCAACGACAAATCGATCCTTTCTCTTCAGTTCATTCATCCTTATCAAGAAGCACAGAGGTTTTCACAACCTTTCATCATACAGCACCTTGTTCTCTCCTTTACCATCGCGGTCCGACTACAATCCCTACCACCGTTCATCTCAAGACTAAATCAAATCATCAGCCTTTAAAAAACTGGATACCTTGTATCATACATATCATACACACTTGATTGGTATCATCCAGGTAAGCTCAAGTTCTTTATGACCTTTTATTCAAACTCCCCCCTTCAGATTCTGAATGTATGCAATACGTCACTTGGTCATGATCTTCTCTATATATTTTTTCATTTGTTTATTTTCACTTTCACATTTCCTGTTGACTTTTTGAAGCGGATTCTTTATGGTCGATTTCCAAGTGTAAGACGGAATGAGATTTGATTCCCTTCGATCAGTTCTTTTGACTATGATCACCCAGTTTCTCAATCGGCTCTCTCATCCTCGCTCACACTTCAGTACCTCGTCTCTCTTGACCGAAACTGTAGCTAATCTTCACTCGCTCGGTTCATCGCTCAGATCTTTCGCTCACTAAACCTAAATTCAGGTTCAAAACTCAAGCCATGAGTAACCAAACTTTGTAGTGATGAGACTCAGAGGAATGTTTTGATGAGCTGTATCCAAAGTCGATGATTATATATGAATGATCATCACTTTACAACATAAGAATTTTGATATCCGATTTCCTTTACAGTAGCAACTGATCATCCCATCCACTTGCTCTTCTCAATCTCAATCTCAATCCCAAAACCTGATCCTGTGTTCTGTCCTGTCTGTTTCCTCCCTCTTCCTCGCTCTCTCCCTCTGTTGTCTTCCTTTGGCCCTGTTAATCATCTGAGTAGAAATATTTACAACACCTTTTGGATGAATTCACGATTTGTTTGGCATTTATTTAAATTTTTGTGAGCTGATTTCAAATTCTCAGTTAACCCCCTCTTCCTTCTCATCATTCTCTAGCGTACGTTCTTTCCACGCCTCGAGATATCTTCATTTGATTCCCGTCAACTAATCACTCAACACGGATTTCAAATCCATCATAATTTCAATTTTAAAAGGTATTCGACATTTCTTAACAATATAACTGACCTGCATCTTATCACCACTTTCCATACCATTCCAACTTTCTTATTTGCTTCTCAAAATTGACTCTTCTTCTCATCATCATCATCATCATCATCGATTTCAAGGGCCTACAACTGACCTCGATTTTCTTCACTTTTCGCGCTTTCGTTCTCTTACATCCTTCTCTTTACCTCGTTGTGATCATCATAATTTGTTTTCTCTTAATTATTGTAGCACTTTCAAGATTTAATTCATGCTTTTTTGCTAGACTCGATTAGATTTCACTCCCTCACCAATCAACTGCATCATGTCACAAGGAGGAACTGATCAAGCTTCAATCTCGATCAGCAAACACAATATGAACATCAACACACAACATTTATCATCTGATTCGGATCAAATCAATAAAATCAATGAACCTTCCTCTGGTTCTTCCTCTACGTCTTATCCACTCTATTCTAATCATTCTGATGATCAGTCTTACGATCGACTCAGCTCTCCACTGCCTCAGAAACCAAATTCGCTACTGTTGTCCATCAACCCAACCGCTCTCGATCTTGGAAATAGTGACACCCATGATTTCACCGGAGCCAATACTGTTACTACCAACAATGCTACGAATAATCATGCAACTTGTACTCAACCCACTTCTGCTCTCAATTCGACTGCAGCTGTCATCCTTGTAAAACCCCATCACCCCTTTTCTGAATCTGCCTCCTCGTCTTCCTCTTCTTCCTCATCTTCTTCGGTCCACTCTCGTCATCTCTCATCTGCTTCTGCTGCATCTCATCACCATCATCATCCATCTGGCAACATTCCTTTTCCAGCTTACCAAACATCTCAGCAACAACAATCCCCCAGTCCTTCGATCAATCATCAAGCTCCATACCACCTACATCGCTTCGGTTCGGATACTCAACAGCATCCCTTGCTCTTAGGCTCTCATCTAGCTGCTCCCTCTATCCCACTTCGACCAACTTCCCAACAAAACTCATCGCCCTTTGCTCAGCCTAATCACGCTCATCATCTACCTCAAACTCAGATGCTGAACCAGCAGCAACCAACACCAGCCCATCATCAACTCTTTGGATATCCGCGCTGTTCACCACCGGTTTACCTTCCGCCTCAACCCCATCAGCGCTCTCCCATCTCATTCAATCCTCACCATGGCTCACTGGGTGATCACTCCGATTACAGACTTAACCCTACCCAAAACAATCATAACCCTTGGCACAACTTATCAATCAACCCGGTCCCAGAACCATATCAACCTGCGTTCTACGACCCATTCCAGTCAGTTGAAATTTCACTTCTTCCTTGTACATCTTCTTCAACCGGTAGTACAAGCAGAGCTCTGTGATCTACAATCTTTATACTTGTCTGCCGGGGATCTGCAGTGCCCGTTTTTACGGAGACTATCTGCTCATCACAGTCCATCTTCATGGAAGCTCATCAAACTTTACGCTAACCCTTCCTTTGCCCCTTGCCCTCATTTGGTAACACGCATCCAGGATTAAGCACCGTCGTCGAACGACCCCTGCACAACTCAATGTGCTCGAAGCCCAATTCGAGTCGAATTCTAAGCCTGATGTTGTTCTACGAAAGCAACTTGCTGAAAAACTCGACATGACCCCCCGGGAGGTTCAAGTTTGGGTATGTTCAACGCGTCACCTATGAGAGCTTTGTATGTGACCGCGTAGCTCACTTTAATGATTCTGCTTCTCAAAAGTTTCAAAACCGAAGAGCCAAAACTAAAAAACTAGAAAAAAGGGCTGAACACGAGACCAAAACCAACGACCAAAACCTTGATCCATCTGAAGATCAACTTTCACACAATGAAGATATGTCGGGCGATCCGCATACGTCCATTCAATCCAATCGACACTCGATTTCGCCGCAGTCTTCTGTCTTTTTCAACTTATCCAACAGTGCACCTAGCTCGAAACCAGACTCGATCATCAGCCTTGCTTCTACCAGTGGCAGCTCAGAGGACTTTCGCCAACAGTCATCGAACCAAAGCTCTGAATACGCCCGTCTTTCTCCGACTACAATTTCGGCTGGGCTCTTTTCTACTCATGAACCCGACTCTAACACGTCTGCAGCTATTGTAAGACCGCAGTTTGCCCCAAATGAGGATCAACTCATAAATCCTTCTGATCAGCATCTCATTCATGAGCGACACCTGAGCACAGAGCGTCATGCTGGCCATACCTCCACCAATCATACAGCAATCTACCAACCCGTTCGTCTTTATCCTGTGACCCCTTCGTTCGTCTTTGGATCAGCTACTGCTGCACCTGTGTTATCGCCGATCACTACCTCCATGGGTGACAAGGCATCGGCTGCCCCTCTGGGACATGGTTACGATTATCGGTCCAGAACTTCGATCGCCAGTTCCATTGCTACCAGTGATTCGCATCATGGCCAGCCAGACTCACTAGACAACTTCATGACACCTTCAACCACTGATTTTAGCTTTGATCATTCGTCCCACGGTGCAATGATGGGTGGAGATAATGGTACACTTTATCCGGTTGGGTATGACCCACGAAGACGCGCCAGTTGCCCGGCTGAGTTCATTCAGTCCTTTGGACATTTCGGTTTCGCCCCCATCTCTCCTGATGGTCTCTCACCCGGTGCGAGTGCTCAGCTAGGTGGCTCCTCCGCAGGTCCAATGTTCAATGGCTCGTCGATCTCTGAGAGTACGCTTTGGAATCGGACACCAACGCAACCTGATTGGAAGGTGGACGATGATACAGGAGCTGATGAGACAATGATGACAAACGAAGTGAAGGACGGGGGATTTGATCCGATCGATGGAAGCTCTGATGCTCCCAACTCTGGAGGCACAGGCGCGATCCAACGTCGACATTCCGTTGCTTCTATCATAACTTATGGAAGGTCCGGGATTCCAATGTCAAATCCAGCTGTTCTTGGTCACCTTGCCAGCTCGCCTCAACATTTATCGCCACATTCTAAACCGAATGGTAACCCGCCATTTCCGGTCCCTGCTCACATGATGTCTGGTTATGGAAGGAGAGGCTCGACCTCATCATCGGTTGCTGTCTTGAACGCCATCGAAGAGCATCCAGGATCAGTGGGAGCAAGTGAATCAATGGAAGAGAAGTCGAGTAACAGCGAGATGGATGAAGGCCAACCCGATCTCTCTTCGCCATCAAACCGATCTCAGCGTCGACCTCAACTTGAACGCAGAGCGCGATCGCACGCCAACATGAAGACCGCGAGTACCTATCAATCGATGAAACCCAACAAGCATGCGATGGGTAGGAGATTTTCAGTGGGTCCTCCCAATTCACTAGAGGCTATGTTCGATCTTGGTACACATAATGAAAACGAAGGGGGATGACGAGCATCCCGCAATGACAATGAGTACAGCGCTATTTCTATCATTCTGCTGCTTCCTGATTGTATTGCGAGCTTTCATAAAATTGTTCATTATGCCTTTTCATCTCTCATTTTAATGTTTTATTGGTTCCAAAGACGTTGAAGGTAATCCCTAAATTATTTATTTGGTTTCATTGCTCTCGTTTTGATCTTTCTACAATTGCGAAAAGTGGTGTTGTTTAATAGGCCAAGGGAACCCAGAGCAAAATGTGACTTGTATGTAGAATCTGCGCGATCTGGGTCATGTATGCAGGGTCATTGTTTTGGTTTGATGTTTGTTTTTGAATTGGGCTCGGACTCAAAAAGTCTCATAAAAAATTGTCAGAAATGTTTTAAACATTAGATGTTGTTGATGAAGTGTACTCATCTTATCTCATGCGTACAGACTATACATTTGCTCCTTTAACTTAATCTTTCAGTGGTTCTTATTCACTATTTAGAAGCATTTTGCAACTACATACAGATGTTGAGGCCCCTCGTGAAAAACCATACCGTCTCGTAAGAGACTTGAATATTTGAAGCTGGGTGAACCCCAATACATGTGAGAATGATTGCAAAATATAGTTGCTACTGTTAAAGTCTTATGAATTTCAGCCCAAACTTTCAAATTGACTGTTCTTGCCAAAACTTGACATAAGAAGCTAATCTCCAGCATGCTCAACCTGGTTGCTTTCCATCTATAAACTTTCTAAAGCATCTAATTACAACTTTCTTTTTCTTTGTTTTTTTATTATCAAATCCAAATCTCCACTCAAAAACAACACCTGGACAATCCATGAACAGCTGCAAGTCAATATTTGACAAAAGCTATACATGCACAGACACAAGACTGAAGATCTCAAATGTTCAAAATGTTGAGTTTTGAGTGAGAACATTGGGTTTGGGCATTTGCAGTCTCTGTCTGAAATTCATAAGCCTTTGTGGGTTGTTTGAAGGTCATTGACAGAACCAATGAGCCACAAGTTGGTTCTAAAGCCCACGGAGCTAGAGGACACAGGGGGCTACTTAAGGACTAAGGACTTAAGGGAAGCAAATTTCAACACAGCAAAATTCTGAATACAGGAAAACTTTTTCCATATTTATGGTTCTCAAACCTATGCAAAAATTCGTGCAAGTTTTGAGCAACTTCTGTGCAAGACATGAATAGAACTTGCACGGATCTTGCACGGATCTTGCACATTGGTCTCGCATGGTTTTTGTACCAGTTGGAACAAAATAGCTGGGGTCGTCAAAGAATTTAATGCACAAGATTGGTGCAAGAAATCTTGCATGGATCTTGCACGTTGGTCTTGCACAGTTCTTGCACAGGTTTGAGAACCATAATTACCTCATAGCCTACTTGCCAATCTCAAGCTCTCATCTGTTTTTCTATCTCACACTTGTCACTCAAGAGTGTTCTTAAAAAGTTTAAATTCAGAAAATCCAAGATTCAAAGACTAGGTAAAAGCTAAGATGCAAAACGCAATAAAGAAGGCAGAAGACCAAGCAAACAGGCTGTCAGCAATGAGATGTCTTGCAGAGCAAAACATCCAAGATACTGACAAAGAGCATATATATATTTAAATAAAACAATAACAAAAATACAATTTGACATACACATCTCTATCACTCGAGTTTCAAGAGTGTAATAACTGTTATCAACAATAACGTATTTCTTTTAAAAGTATTTTTGTAAAAGTAAGTTTTATATACTTTTACAAAAATGCAGAAGTTCACCATAACAGCGAACTAATGACATCACCACCTCATATCAACCAGGCAAGGGTAAAACAAAACCCTGCCCAAGAAAAGCTTTTACAAAGTATAGCAACCAGTCCCTTAAAACCGAATTAAGGGACTAACCAATAAAACCAGCCTGATCAAAAATACTTCAGACCCTGGTAGAATTTAAACCCAAGCGCCTGATGAATTGGAATCATCATTTAAATACGAGCTGCTATTCGCTAAAACAAAGAGAGATCATCCTTTTATCATTTTACAAAACCTTATATCTAAAATTTACCTTCTATGAATTAGAACAAAATTTATAAGCCTTTGTCTCTTCTACTTTGGGAACCTCTCTCAAATCACTTATAAAACCTTTTCTCTCTAGATTTTATAAATTTGAAGTAAATTCCCTCCAGATACTTAGAAGTTCTATTGGCTCTTTTCATCTTTCTATTTCATACTTTTCCTTCTAGAACAACCCATCAGAGTTTTTACAGATTGTCTAGTGCTGTCTAGTCGACTAAAATCTTTGTAGTTCTATTTCCTTTTTGATACAAATATCAACTAACGCTGAAGCGTAACCTAAAGCACAAATACAAAACTCGTACTCACTTTAGAAGGCTATCTAGTAAGTGTACTAGATCAGTAGACGGTGTAGAACTTAAAGCTCAACAAGAGCTTTACAGAGCTAAAAGAGGGATAATCTACTAATAAAGTATCTAGTAGAAGTTGTCTAAGACTGCCTCTTTGAAAGAATCAACACGGGGTTTTGCTGAATTCTTTGGGATAAGGCACCAGAGAAAGTTGTCTCAATACTTAATTCAAGTATTATTCCCGTGAGTTTTTTTTAGAAATAGAGAAATCTCAACACTATTGTAGTGTTATTCCAATTTGAACACAACAAAAACACAATTTTAATTACTAGCAAGCAACAATCAGTTTGATTGTTATTCCAAATGAAGACTTGTAGTCTTATCACACGTAAAGAAATCTCTCCTTTGATGTAAAGGGGCTATTTAGTGAACTTAGTACTGGTAAAGTAATTTAATGATGATTAAAAACACTCTAACAAAAGTATAAGATGATTAAAAAGGGGAACAAAGGCCCGTAAAATCCTTAACAATAGTATATAACTCTCCAACAACCTTCAACAATGGTCAACAACCTCCAAAAACCCTCAAAAACCGTCAAAATCAACAGAATATCCTCCAATGTAATCATATGATGTCATAAAGATTATTGTTTGTAATGATTCAAGGCGTGAATTTGATCAATTGATGTGAATAAATGATGAACAGATCTTCTTATGATGAATACAGGTGATTTTTTCCTAATATTCATAGCTGCAATCCATTTTTGGAATTACGAATTTTTTGTAAAGTTGTTCAATTTTGGATTACTATAGCTCATTTGATAGCCCTCGTGATTCTGATCATTTATCAAAATCCATTTTTGGAATTACGAATTTTTTGTAAAGTTGTTCAATTTTGGATTACTATAGCTCATTTGATAGCCCTCGTGATTCTGATCATTTATCACCCCTATATCACCTATTTCTGATGTGTGATGAATAAGTTATTGAGTTGTAAAGATTGCAAAAATAAGGTTTTGTCATGTAAATGTCACATGTAACCTCCAAATTCGAAATTCACTCCAGTTTCTTTGTTGCCTTATAACTTTTTCACTACTCCTCCGCTACTAATGATTTAAAGATTGTACATTATGTAACCAATGATTCTGCGTCGAATGAACTATCACACACCCAATTCTGACCAGTTTTACCATATGTAATTAACTAAAAACTCCCATTTTTGATGAATTTTGACTATTTTCACGTCTAATAATGATTTTCCTTCTATCAAAAGATCATTCCACAGCGCTCCAATCAATCACACAGCACTAAAATCCTTCTGAAAAACTCTTGGCGCAACCAATCCATCAATGACATCACTACACAGGAATTAATACCATAGTACCCTTCTTCGAAATTTCCCTTTTCTTGAATAACTTCACACCTCCCTTATCAATCCTCATGATTAAAGTTGTTGATGACTAATGTGATCCTTCTATTTCACAATAAAACCTTCCTGAACCAATATCTCTTCTATTAATAAGCTAAAAACCACTTTCCAAGCTTTCATACCCATATTTTCGAATTTTTCTCCAACTTGCTTTATATTCTTCTTCCTCTTTCATTCTTTTCATAACAGTTTCCATTCTTAAATATCCAAACTAAATGTTCTTCTTCCTCAAATCCCTTCTTACTAATTCTCTTAATATGATTTTCACTCTTTTACTATTTTTATTGATCTTTTCGAATTTTTCTTTGCTCTTAAATGATCTTATCAATTGCTTATGTAAATATATATTTTGAAAGATAATGAAATGAAAATAATGAATCAACTTTAATAACCTTGATGACTAACAACCTCAATAATAATAGTGCCTTTGACCAAAAACTCGAGTTTCCACATAATTTTTAATTTTTTTTTTTGCTTAAGTAGAGATCTTGCTCACCACAACGGGCAGCAGTATATTGATTCTGCACCTAAGGACTTATAACTAACAATTATAAGTTACTCCTTTTTCCAACAGTTACCTACGAAGAATTGAAAAATCACCATCAAGAGTTACCTTGAACCAAGGTTGTAAGTCTCTTAGAGGATACATTTCGTAAGTATTATTCAGCTTGTATCTCAGATTCTCCCGAAACTAGAGTGTCAAGCTGACACAGGCTACCTAGGAGGAACGGAAGCAGAAACTGACAAACTGAAGACAGAGACAAGGTACAAGACCAATTGGACAGAGCACCCATGGGAGAGAGTAACGGAACACAAAGCCAACAGAAAGTTAATTCAGGGGAAGCAGATCAACAAACAACTAGTCAGCCAACAATCAGCCAGCAGCAGAAACCGAGCAAAATCCAGCCAACAAATCAAACTAGAAACATGACTGCAACAAGAAACAGAACCCCGGGCCCTTCAAACACAAGGGAACAAAACAAATGAGTCCTATTGGTCAACCAGAAGCTACCGGAGTCAGACCCAGAAGATGACTTGTATGTACCTCCAGTAGATTAAGGGAAAAAGAGAATGAGGAGCTCCTCAGTAGGGAGCAGCACAAGGAATAACTTGCCATCAGGTAAGCAAACAATTTCACACATTATTACTTTTGTCCTGTAGATTGGCAGCACAAGTCCTAGATACACCTCATCCAAAGCACGGGATATCAAGAAGTCAGCTAGTGATATTAGCAGTCATATGACAAAATTCCTACCTAAGAATCAGAATAGCAAGCCAGCAACCCAGCTTAGAACAGGGCAAGGCAGAACCTGAGCACCACTGGAGAAGGTGTCTTGGAGACTGAACCTGAGCTCCATTAGAAGGAGAATGTGTCTCTATGGATACAGCTAGATATGCATGTGCTCTTAGAGGAGAAAGTGTCTATGCAAAGTTTGGAAACTGACCATTGGCTGGATTGTCCTATGTGAATAGATCAAGACTTAGAGCCAAGCAACAGATGAGTAGCAATGCAAGGGGCAATCACCGGCCTATTTGTTGAAGGAAAGATCCAAGAAGGATCAGCTCTACAGTTGTTATCACCAAAGCCCTCTGACTGGCTCCCTGCAAGAAGAATCAGGGCAGTTGACCTGGTACTTTGGTATTTTTTATGCCATGATATTTCTTGAAAAGCCCATTTTTGGACTTTTCAGGTGTAGAGGGACCAAGAAATGGTACTCATGAACCTGTACAGCCACTTCTGCAAAAAGAAA